GCGGGAGCAGTCCCTCCCTAAGCTCATCTGTCATCTGGTCCAGTGGGGACCAGCTCTGGCTTTGACCTTCTGGGTGCTGCTGTCGTAATTTTTCAAACGATGTAAAGCAAAGGACTGAACGAACAGAATGAATTAGAATATCATATTTGTTTATTGACTGTTACTAGCACCGTATTAGGTCAAAATAAATGGGTTTGATGTAATAGGGTGCTAGTAACAGGGTGCCATTGTGGGGGTCTGGTTGGCTCTGGCCACCCTGAGGTGTCTGCTTCTCTATTCACACTTGTGTCATTTGTGAGGAACAATTTGGGGGTTTAATTGCATCTGATCCAAGGTCCGGGTGGCGCCTGCTCCAAGGGGGACCCAGCCTCACGCTCCCCTGGGGTCAGAGATGCTGTTTCAGCCCCTGTCACCCTAGTCCAGCTCCATCACCTGCTCCTCTGGCCCTGTCACACCCCACAGAGAAGCCCAGAGCTGCTTTAAATGGGGCAAGAGCCTGGTCCCTGGCCAGCACCGGCGCTGTGGGACCATGAGCTCTGGGTTTGCTCTGGCTGAACACATCAGCCCGGAAATAAAAACCCATCTCTTACTTCGCAGAAGCAAATGCAATGAGGTGTAAGCAAAGCAGAGGGGGGGCTGCCTCTCTCCCCCTCTCTCTGCCCCCCAAAAAGATCTGGATGGAATGAGACAGGCTGAGCTAGGCCTGGGGACCCCAGGGCTGTGGGTCTGCATCAGGCTGTGGTCCAGCTGGAGACGCTGCCAAATATTTAATATAAAAATAGCTCATCAGGAGACACCACGGGCTCTGCCAGAAGGACATTTGCCCCGGAGTGGGCAGGGCTGGCCAGTGCCACGGCCCCTGGGTACAGAGCTGGGGCTGGGGGGGCCAAGCACAGCCAGGGGGGTCACAGAGCTGGGCAGTGCACTCACCTGGCAATAAGGAGCAGGATGTGACCCCCCATATGCTCCTCTGCCCGGCGGATCAGAGGCAGCCCCCACCTCACCTACAGCCTCAGCATTTTCCTGGCCTCTTTGCAACACTCCTGCCCACGCAGCAGCCTCAGGCTCCCAGCAGCATCTCCGGTCACTGACAGCAGCCTGGCAAGCAGAGGTGACCTGCCACCACCTCAGAGGTGCCAGGGGCTTGTACCCTCCTATGTCGTGTGCCAAAAACGGGGGACACCAGGCAGTGCCAAAGCAGCTTCAGCACCTCGAGTCCTTTCATCCCACAAGCCTCACCCACAGACACTTGAGGTCTCACCTTTTGTCCCAGTTTGAGCTCAGCAGTGTTGGTTCTTCAAGGAAATACTACTGTGGAAGGTTTCTCTACGCCAGTTAAATCACTGGGGTTTCCACAGCAGCGTTGCAACCAGGCTCAGTACAATATTCATCAGAAACAGGGTGGCAAAGAAGAGGCAAAATTTCCTCAAGAGAGGAACCCAAGAGCTGAACCCAAACACCCTGTTTCCACAAACACCAGTCACGGGAGACACCCAGGCTCAGTAATTATTCCGGGATGGGCAGTGCCCCAGTTATCAAAGCACTGACTGCACAGGTCTGGTGCTGCAGTTTAACAGTGTGCTGCAAGAAAGTTCAACGGGAAGGACAGACAGATTGCTCAAGATAAGTCACCTCAGAGCAAAGAGCAAGGTTGGCTGGGGACAGAAGTTGCTTTGTTCAGATTTTCCAAAACATCAGGCTGGTGGTTTTGGTCAGTCCGGATCCTGAGACATGGAGGTGCTGAAGCGTGTCCAGAGAAGGGCAACGGAGCTGGGGAAGGGTCTGGAGCACAAGTGTGCTGAGTTCCCAGCTGAGGGAACTGGGGTTGTTGAGCCTGGAGAAGAGAAGGCTCTGGGGAGACCTTTTAGTGGCCTCCCAGTACCTGAAGGGGCTCCAGGAAGGCTGGGGAGGGACTTTGGACAAGGGCAGGGAGTGACAGAACAAGGGGTGATGGCTTGAAAGTGGCAGAAGGGAGATGGAGATGAGATGTGAGGAAGAAATTCTTTGGTGTGAGGGTGGTGAGACAGTGTCCCAGGTTGGGCAGAGAAGCTGTGGCTGCTCCTCCCTGGAAGTGTTGAAGGCCAGGTTGGATGAGGCTTTGAGCAACCTGGTCTAGTGGAAGGTGTCCCTGCTGATGGCAGGGGGGTTGGGACTGGATCCGCTTTAAGGTCCCTTCCAACCCAAACCAGTCTGGGATTCTATGAAAACCCTGCCCAGCACACACCATCAGCCTCTGCTTTCACAGGCACGAGAGGTTGGAAGAATAACAAAGATTGGAAGAATATTTCATAGAAACTGTTTTTCTTCCCTGCATTTAACTATGAATTTGGGTATTTGTCACAACTACTGATTCCCAGGAAAATGGCCATTTTCCATGTGTAACTTTGAAAAATATAATATGGGAAGCTGAGCTGGCAAAGCTGTTGTGTGTTCCAGCAGAGCTGGGGGTTGCCTTTTCCCAGGCTGCACCACAGGCAGAGCGCTGGGAGCAGAGGTTGAAGGATCCAGCAGCTCCTCTGCCCGGGGAGAGGAAAGCACGGCGTGCCGCAGCGCTGCTCCGCTCACCCACAGCAGGGGAGGAGAGGACAACACAATCAACTACAACCCCCACCGGGACATTTCCAAATGGAAATCTCCAGAGAGTTCTCCATTCTCAATTTTCTGCTGGAAAATGTGAAGCTTTAGGGGGAAAAATAAATAAATTAATTTAAAAAAAATCACTTGTTTTTCCTCCAGACTCATGGCTGGGATGAGGGGAAAACTTCAGAGACAGAAATGGTGTTTACTGACCTCTGATCTTAAAGAAAAATTTAAAAAGAATTCACTTATCCTCTTGGCTTTTTCTTTTCCTACCAAGACCGTCTGGATTCTGTGCTCAGGTAGTTGGGGAAGAAAATAAGAGATCCTGTGGGATACAGGCAGATGGGTCCTGGGAAGCTGGATGTAACCAAGGAACGAGGATCTTAGCAACAGGCTGGATTGGGAGGAGTTAAAGATAGAAACAAAAGTAGAAGCAGAGCAAACAATCAAAAAATGCCATTTCCTTCCCAAACGCACCAGACCCTGAAGCAGCACAACTGACACTTCAACCAGAGGGAGATAAATCAGTTCCAGGCAGGGAAGGATCCTTGGGTTACCTATTTTTTTTCTTTAAGGAAAACAGAAAGTCTCAGAGACAGAGGAAGATTTTTGAAAACACTTTTACAGTTGCCAAAGAGTTTTGTACAAATCAAAAGCATCCCTTTGAAAATCTCCATTATTACAAACATACAAAGAAACGATGTTATTACTACAAATCATCAGCTACTCAACTGCATGATCGATTTATCACAATTAAAAAAAACAACCCCCAACCCCATAATAGTATATACAGGGCTTTCCTCCCTCTAGTTATTTCTGTATCTCGAGGGAAGCAAAATAAAAAGCAAAGCCCCCATTTAAAAAAAAAAAAAACACCCCACCAATGCACCTCATTTTCTAAAAACGTGTGAAGTATAAAATTAGGTGAGTACTCTCCTGCTGTCACACTCTGGCAGAGTGTGACAAGTTTGGGTTTTTGTTTTTTCTTCTCTTGTTTTCACATCAGAAGTCTCTTAAAAGAAAAAAAGAACAACAAAAAAACCCAACCACATGGCAGTGTCTGATGCTGCAGTGTGCTCCTTCCATGGAGGAAGCCAACATCAACAAGAAAAAAAAGTGCCTTTGAGTAAAATCATCTTTAGTAACAAAAAAGGAAAAAAAAGGAAAAAAAAAAGGAAAACCAAATCTCTAGTTAAAAAGCTCAATAAAAACCCTGACAGAGCAGCCAGCTCTGCCTCAAAAAGGATGATTTACCTTCTTCACTACCTACCTTCAGCGCTGCTCCAGACTAAGGGTCCATCCCTACCCCTCCACCTTGAGGGTCTCCAAACCCTGAGATGTTTCTCCAGCCCCTGGATGGAGCGTGGCGCTGGATGCTGAGGAGCACTCCTGCCAGCCCAGAGCTGTGCCGGGGCTTTTCCTCATCCCAGCAGCCAAGTGCTTTTTATTCCCCTTTCCTCATCCCGAGAGAGGGAGCCTGGGGAGCACCCGCCTCAGCTGGAAGGGTCTGGTGGTCTCTGCACTGCTTCTGGAGAAGCACATCCCTGTTACAGGGAACTTTCATAGCCCTTTGGTTCTGCTGGTTTTTAATCAGCAGTGAGAAATGTCCCTGGAGAGCCCCAAAAAAACACTCCTTGGCTTGAGTCGCTGCCTGAGTAAGCGCTTTTCTGGAGCCAACCTGGCCCCCACCTTCTGCATCTGGAAGGGAGCAGTGGGGCAGGGAAAGGGGGAGAAGAGGGTGAGCTTGATCCAAGGACTGAGGGGAAGCAGAGGAAACATCCAAGCTTTGAACATTCCTCATGCAAAGAAACGGAGTAAGAGACGCTTGATCACACCAAGCTGCAGAAATATCATCAAAGCCCTAAAGGCCACCAAGTAACCAGGGGAGGATATGGGGTGGGTTTGGGTCTGTATAGTTACAACTCTGGCTCCCAAGCCAAAAGCTATCATAATAAAACAAGAAAACACAAAACCAGGCAGTTTGGTTTGACAAGTTGACATAGAAAAGAAGAAGAAAAAAAAAAAAAAAAGCCAAACCAAACCAAAAAAATTCCAAGATAAATACACAGCCCCCATTTTGGAAGCATCTTCAAAAAGCTGGATCAACCATTCTCAGCAGTGGCACACAACTTTCCAGTAAGTAACATCTGTTGGGCTGGTGATTTATCAGCTTCTTTTTGAAGAGGGAACAGTTCAAGAAAAGAAATAAAATAAAATAATTAAAAATATCAAGCTCCCACCACACGCAGCTCCTGTCTTATCTGCGTAACGACTGGCCACAGCTATTGCCTCACAGCAGCAGGTTGGGAACCAGTAAGAAGTCTGTAATGCAGCAGGTTCCTGTTTGCTGGGTTGGCAGTGGTAGTAACTGGTTAGGGAAAATAAAACCAACAATAAAAAAACCCCCCAAAAACCAACCTTCTTCCAGAAAGCAGTAGTTCAGGGTGGAGGGGGGGGATTGAGGATGGCTGGGACCTCTCCCTGCAGATCACCGTGGTATGGGTTGGTTGAAAGCAGCCACGCTGGAGCTGTCGAAAGGCAACACACACCAGGTGATTCCATCGAGTCCTCGGCAGTGGGAGAGTGACAACGCTGAGGTTTTAGTTTCCAGCGATCAGGGAGGTCTCCTAGAGTCCTTGGCTAATGCTGGGAAAAGCTCCCAGATTGGGGAGGGGTTTGGTTTTAAGGGGAAGTTATTGCTCCCGACTTCTCAGGCTTTTTGCCCTTCGATAGGGCAGCTGCTTGCTTCAGGAGTTCTCTGTTCTTGGCCTGGAAATACAGTGAAAATGGGTATTTAATAGCACGGATCATCATTAGCTCTTGGGATCCTAGAATTTTCTGGACAGAAGCTGCTGGCATCCTGCAGATGAAAAAGGAGGTAGATGTTGCTGCGTGAGCTCAAGTCCAGCATTTCATCTCTAACCACCTAGAAAAGGTTCTTCCCATCCCTTCCCCCTCACATCCCCCCAGCTGTAACCAAGCAGTGGGCTGAAGGTTAACAGCTTCCATGGTGAAAGGCGACAAACACACAACTCGTGTTAAACCAGCCAAGGACACTCAGCAGGACTGACTGACTTTCCTTCCTTCCTTCCTTCCTTCCCCTTTCACCAGCCACCGTGCTTGGGCAGCATGAAAAGTGATGGAGTAAAACTCTGGTGACACCAGGGTCATCCTGACTCTTGTTCCAGGGAGCTGAAGGCCAGTGTCTCCTTCCTCACACTCACTTATATCAAAAAAAAAGGGGAGTGGAGCACTTCACTGCTCTCCAGCTTTGCTTCACTCTTGGTTTCTTCACATGCCACCAATGTTTTCATAGAATCCCAGACTGGTTTGGGTTGGAAGGGACTTGAAAGCTGATCCAGTTCCAACCCCCCTGCCAGCAGCAGGGACACCTTCCACTAGACCAGGTTGCTCAAAGCCTCATCCAACCTGGCCTTCAACACTTCCAGGGAGGAGCAGCCACAGCTTCTCTGGCCAACCTGGGCCACTGTCTCACCACCCTCACACCAAACAATTTCTTCCTCACATCTCATCTCCATCTCCCCTCTGCCACTTTCAAGCCATCACCCCTTGTTCTGTCACTCCCTGCCCTTGGCCAAAGTCCCTCCCCAGCCTTCCTGGAGCCCCTTCAGGTACTGGGAGGCCACTAGAAGGGCTCCTTGGAGCCTTCTCTTCTCCAGCCCCAACTCTTTCAGCCAAGAATTTACCAGAACTCAGCTCTGTACTGACCCTGCATCCCTGCTAGGAGCTTTCCAAACCCATCAGAGCACCAACATGTAGCAATTTACATTCTTTCTCATTTGCACCGAATTAAAAATCATAGCAACTTAGGAACAAGGCTCTCCAGCCCCTTTTACCAAACTCCTGAGCTCACTTTCCTCCAGCCTATGAAATAATGATGCAGCTGTAGGATAAGGGGTAGAACCAGTGTGAAGTCAGATAGAGGTCTCTGCCTTGGTTTCCAATGAATGAATGAATATGCAAAGGGTTAGAGGAATTGATTAGAGGAATTAATAACTTCTGCTCCAGTGCTGGATGTGGTAAAGCAGCTTCTTGTGCCTCCTACAGACTGGGAGAACACAGCCACTCCTGTTTCCCCCCGTGAAAAGACAAAGACAAAATAATAAAAACCAAGAGTACGTTCAAAAAGCAAATCATATGAACACTTCAAGGCACCTACAATACACCAAGAGGATTTGAAATTTTATTTTGGAACCAGTGAAGAAAGTTTCCAGAGCCTCAAACATTTGGACACCAGAGAGATTAAGTTTGGGCAGTTCCAGTCTGAGTTAAGTACAGAAGAGCACAGCGGGTGACACATGCAAACCTCTCTCCACCCAGGAGAGGCAGGTGACTGCTGGCAAACCTGCTGGTGGATCTGATGGTTCTTCTTCCTTTTCAGAATTGAGCAAGTTTAAGGCTGTTGGAAGGTGTCTGACAGGTTGCAAGGCAGACAATCCTCCTTGAGCTACAGCAAAGGCAGCAGCAGGGTACACTGCTCCCACGCACACCCAGCTTGCTCTGCCTTGGGAGACCACTGTGAGGAGAGGGGTCAGCTCCCACTTCACCCCTGAGCTCATGGCCCAGGCTGTCATGGTAACCAAAAAGTGGTGGTTTGTGCTAATGGAAAATGGTCTATTCAGGACTGGAGTAAAAACACCAACTCATTCTTTACAGGCCACCCAAAGCTATGAGATAGCAACAGCTCTGGGCTGACACAGGCAGTGCAGGATCATAGACTCACAGACTGGTTTGGGTGGGAAGGGATCTTAAAGCTCATCCAGTTCCAACCTGGAGACTTCTCTTCTCCAGGCTGAACAGCCCCAACTCTCTCAGCCTGTCCTCACAGCAGAGCTGCTCCAGCCCTGGCATCATCCTGGTGGCCTCCTCTGCACTGGCTCCAGGAGGTCCATGTCCTTGTGCTGTTGGTGGCCCCAGCACTGGAGGCAGCACTGCAGGTGGGGTCTGAGGAGAGCGGAGCAGAGGGGCAGAATCCCCTCCCTCCACCTGCTGCCCACGCTGCTCTGGGTGCAGCCCAGGACACGGTTATTGGCCTCTGGGCTGTGAGCACACGTTGCCAGCAGAACAGAGACAGAAGGCTCTGGCTGTCACCAGTCCCTCAAACACAAACCACCAGTGCCACCCAGTTCACGGGGAGCAGGATGTGCATCCAGCCCTCAGCTCACCACACACACATATTCCAACCTTCAGACAGGCTCCTGCTGCTTAAGAATGTGCAGTGTGAACAGGATCTCACAGGCACTGGCTCTGTATCTCCAAAACCTGCCTTCCACTCAGACACTGAACTTGGGGAGTGCACTGCTGGAGGAAGGGCTGTTTTCTCAGCCTTTTGTCTGATCCCCTCCCATTTCTCATCGCTAGGGCTTTAGGTCATGATATACCCCAGAGTAATTAAAAGGAGCAAAGTTCATTTCTGTGTCTGATTTCTTCCCTGTCAACAGCTCACCTTTGACCTGATCTCTTTGGTGGTTCAGAGCATGTTCATGCTGATAGTCTGCCCAGCGTTTCCACGGTCATGGCAAGAATCCTGCTCTCCCTGTTCCCTCAAGCACAGGGATTTACAGGGCTAAAGGAACTGCCAATTGTTTCTCAAGCTTTGTTCTCTCTGGTTACTGGTCACATCAAGCACATTAAGAGCTACGTGGTGCAGAGAGCTGACAAAGGTTCTACAGTCTAGAGAAAAAGGTTCAAACCTGATTTTGGCAATAGGTTAAACGAGTTTGATGGTTCCCATCCAGTCCACAGGGGACACAAGACAGTATTTTACAATACAGGTAAGTCTGAGCCTGAGCAGAGAGCAGCAAGAAGGATTATATAGAGGTTACAATGCACCACAGCCCGGTACAGAGCTGGGGAGTGGCTTGCCTGGCAGAGCAGAGAGGCTGTAGGACAGGGCTGAGAAGTGTTAGCAGACCTGGGTGTGCAGAAGCTCACAGTGTGTTCTGATCTGGAGTGTCCTCAGTCACTCCTGAGTACAGCATAGCTCAGCAAATTAAAACAAAAATGCTGTCACCTGTAACTGCTCCATGACCTCCTTGTGTGTCTTCTCCATTTGGTTCATCTTTGCCCTCATCTGCGACTCCTGGTATTGCAGGTCAGCTTTCAGCTCTGTGATCTGCAGATAAACAAGTTAGGAGCAAGTGAGCTGGAAGAAGGAATGAACACCTTCACCCCAGACTTCCCTGGCCACAGAAATGCCTCTGCAGAAGTTGTGTGAGACTGGGTCAGTTTGGAAACGTGCTGGGGTGGGCAAGGGGAGCACAACAAGACCAGAACCACATCACTGAGCAGCACAGAGAAGCAGGAGTGGGCAGGGCCACCTGTGTGCACAGAGCAGCACATTTCTTCTCAGTCTTGTCCATACATGGAGATCTCTGAGACAGTGGTCAGAAAATGACCCTTTATGAAATGAGATCTCCTGGGTAGGTCCAGAAAGCCTCTTTAACTTTGGAAAGGAGGCAGCCTGGGAACAGCCAGAAACTCTCTTGCTCACTCCAAGATAAAAAGCCAAACTCCACAGGAGCATGATCTGCATGAACATGTCAGCATGTTGCGGGGGAAAGCAAGCAAGCCAAGGGCTGTACCTTCTTCTCCTTCTCCAAAATCATCTGATCTTTTTGGTGCAGCATCTTTTTTAAAGTAGCCACTTCCTCCTTCAGCTGGGCAATGATAACAAAGTGGTCAGTGCCAGGAGAGTCCAGGGCGAGGTCCGGAGAAAAACTGCAGCAAAGAACAGGGAAAGACTCACATCACGACCCCTTCTCCTCACTGAGGCAGGGAACTCCCACGCAGATGGCACTCAAAGGACAATGGGAAACATTTTGTGACATGTGTTGTGTCCTCCAAACACTCCCTGAATGCAAGTGGTACCTGTACCCCTGCCCTACATGCCACAGGGAATTTGGGAAACACATGGTGTGACAGGTAACAGGGATGAGGTGTGACATATCGAGTTGTGTTATTCCATGATGAGCAGGAACACGGGGCTGCTATGAGAGACCATCAGGCAGTGGCTGCATCAAAAATCCCTTTTCACACCAAAAAGTTGAGGACAGCAGCCAGAGAGCCAATGCAACTTGATGCAACTGCATAGGAACTCTCTTTGCTCGCAGGCAGCCCTTGGATGTAAAGCAAAACTTTTCACTACATGTAAACAAACATTCTGGCAAGGAGTGAAGGTGAAAGAGAAACAAATAACCTCAAGTTAAATAAACAAAGCAAAAGGAGACACCTAAATTAAAGTCAGCACTGTCCTCAGCAGGGAAAAGGGGTAAAAACACACGCTGGACTTTTGTATTTTGATTCCACCATGATACAGCAATTTAGGAAGAAGCTTTGTCACCACTGCAGAGCAGGAAAGATTTTCTTCAGGGACACGAGAAATAGCTGAGCACCCCATTTGTACACTACCAGTTACTCTAAAGCTCAGCAATCATCTGAAAACTTATCTGGACATGAGTCACTCCCCTGCACTGGTAGTTCACAAACCTCCCTACAAAACATTCAGTGATCTGGGCAGCCAGGCATAATCTTGCTCTTCAGGAATATTTTGGATTGTAAGATACAATAAGCTGCAGGAACAGGCCCAGGGAGCTCACCTGATCTCTGCCTGCTTTCTGTTCCTCACTGCTGTAATGGTAAGCCTGATTTTTATCTCTTGGAGCTAAAAAAGCAGCACACTCCCAGCCCGACACACCTGCAATTGCTGTTTACATATTTAACAGTAATAAAGCAACAAAGCTTCACCTAGAAGATTACTTCAAGTCTGGCTGTTATCAGACAGCGCTGCTGCTATCAAGATAAATAGCCAGGGTTACCTGAAGCCTGACTTTTCTTTCTTTTTTTAAAGCCTCCAGAGTAGGTCAACACATCTCTTAAAGCCTACAACCAGCAAAAAGAGCTGGGAGCTGTGGCAGACTGGGGAAGGCATGGTCTGAACCTGAACCTCAAGCACACAGCCACCTCCATGCTCCCAGTCCCCCATCTGTATGGCAAGGCAGAGAGTAGTGCCTGCTCACCTCACCCAGGGGCCTCCTCCAGTGCCTGGAAATAATCAATTTCCTCATTAAAAGCACAGACTGCATTGATTGGACTGGTTAGCAAGGATGTGGCAGAAGAAAAGGCTCTTGCCACTACTGTGCTGGGGATCTACAGAGGGGAAGTAAGCAGGGGCAGCTTCACAGATCTGAGAGTCACAGGATAGCCCTGAGGCACTGGGAGAGAAAGCTTGGCAAAGGAAAACTCAGAACTGAGAGTGTGGAGGAGACAGCCCGTGGTGGAAGAGTCTTGTGTGGTTAAAACATGCTGACAGCAGAGCCCAGACCCTAAGATGTGGCAGGTCTCTGGGTACACTGGATCTAGCACTGTGCTTGTCACACTGGGCAGCTCTCGAGTGCAGAAGAGGTTTGTAGAGACACACTAACTAGCAGCAAATTCCTCCATTTTAAAACCATTCCTGGAGGCTGCACAAGATGATGGTGGGTGCTTCAACACCTTTCTGTGTGTGAGCATGTTACTAACTGTAGCTTTGATTTCCCACTCAGTGCAAATATGCTGGGGAGGAAAGATGGAACAAAAAAAAAAAAGTAGCCTCCACAGAGAGGAAAAAAAATAAGGCTTCATTGCTGATTCTCTCTGGCTTAAAACAAACTCTTGCTTACACCAGCCCTTTGCCCAGGCAAGCTTCTCTCCTGCCATATCCCGGGGTGATAAAGAGTGTCAGGAGAGCAGCTCCAGCAGGAAAAATTCCTTCCTTGGCAGCTCCTGTTGCAGAGCACGCTGTGGAGCTGGGAAGGTGAGAGCCAGCCCTGCCACCCAGTGGGGAGAAGGGACAGACGGGCCACCAGCCTTCCCTGGAGCTGCTCTGGCACTCTGAGCAGAGCCAGCACCCCATCCCAGGGCTCTGAGGGTCTCCTCCTGCCCTTGGGGTCTGCACCCACGAATGTCAGAGCTCAGAGTGGCCAGACATCCTCTCCTGGCAGGCAGGTGAGCACATGCAGGTATCTTCCTGTCCAAATGTACCCTCAAACGTGTCAAGGTGCTAATTAAAGAAGCAGTTTTTTCCTTTTCCCTCCTTTTTTGTTTTTATATTTTTTGAAAGACTGACAAGTTAGTAATGAAAGGTTTCTCTGTCTTTAACCCCACATGAAGGAAGTGGCCTGAGACTCTAAAATTAGAAGGAAAGCTGCCACATACGAGTCGCTCCATTCCTTTAACAAACAGATTAAGAATTAAAACAAACAAACAAAAGCCATTTTCCGTACAACTAAACTTCATACCCAGGATTTTAGTCCCTGGGGATAGGTCAGCAGGACATGTGCTCTCTGTGTTTGAACAGCTTAAAATGGATGCCTCTAATTAAAGTGAATTGATGAGCTTCTGTTACTATCAATGGAGAGAGAAGAAAAAAAACCAACAGAGCTCTTCCAAAGACACCTGCCTCTCTCTTTGGAGTGGAAAAGAAACCAAAATGACTGCCTTCAACTCCACACCTGTTAAATAGCTGAAATGAGGCAAAACAAATGCCAAGCTTAAAGATTTTACTCCAAGTCAAGCTAGCATAAAGAGGCACAGAGCAGGCTGAGCGAACCAGCAGCCAAGTTTCACCTTAGCCAAAAAACCCCCCCCAATATATTGCACAAAAATCCATCCAGACCAGGAACCTGCACCTGAACTCACACCTCCTCTACCACCAGCAAGAGCAGGAGCAGCTCAGCCCGAGTCCCAGCGCTTCAAGCACACGCCAGGACTGTTCTAGGCAAATGAGAACCCTTTTTACTAAATGAACTTTGCTGCTCAGCACCCTCCATCACTACCCTCCCCCAGCCAGCTCAGTCAGTCACACTCATCGTTGCCTGGTGTTAAAAGTCAAATTTAGCACCCTGTCTAGAGGCGGAGGAGAAGGGACTGCAGCGTGTTCATCCACAGTCTGTAAGATAAAAACACTCGTGGCAGCGTTTGTGTGAGAGGATGTGGACACCAGGCACTGCCCGAATCAGGATCAGCACAGCACCAGAGGGTGCTCACACACACAGGGGCAGCCCAGGACAGTGGGATTAGCAGGGTAAGGTCTGCTGCAAGCTGTGCTGAGAGTCACTGTCGGGGGAAACCACTCTGTGCACAGCAGGGCCAGTGCTGTGAGCTCCTCACAGAGCTCGCCCAGAATGAACCACTCAATGCCACCCGTTAAATGACCACTGGAAATGGCTCAGTCCCCGTATCACAGCCACTGGGAGCAACATCCACTCCAAAATACGTAAATAAAACCAGAGGGAATTCCGTCACACAGAATCCCAGCACTGCCTGGATTGGAAAAGCCCTTTAAGCTCATCGAGTCCAGCCATGAACCCAACACTGACCAGTCCCCTATGACTAACCCATGTCCCTCAGCACTGTGTCTACACGACTCTTCAATCCCTCCAGGGATGGGGACTCCACCACTGCCCTGGGCAGCCTGTTCCAATGCCTCAGAACCCTTTCAGCAAAGAAATTCTTCCTCACATCCCATCTCAACTGCCCTGGCCACAACTGGAGCCCATTTCCTCTTGTCCTGTCCCTTGGTCCTTGGTTGAACAGACCCACCCCCACCTCTCTCCACCCTCCTCCAAGGGAGTTGGAGACAGGAATAATAAGACACAATAAAGGAATTCCTACTGTATTCAAAAAGGAGCAAGTTTCAGATTAGCTGGACCCTGTTGACCCTGTTGCCAAACTCAACTGAGCTCAAGTAAGCCCAAATTTTGCCCAGCTGAAGGCTACATCAGAAGTTTGGCTGGAGACAAGACACACTGTATGGAAAATCGTGGCTGATCTCAGCAGTGGAGAGGTGCTGGTTGTGTACCACCCCACTCCAGACCTCAACGCTGCTGAAAACATGCTTGTGCTGCAGCAGACCTTAACTCCACACTCAGGCTGTGACCCAGACTCCAGGCTGACTCTAGAGGGGACAATCTTACAGAAAATAGTGCAAGAAGGGAGGGTTTTGGAGAGGGGGGCTTCATCCTTGCAAAAAAACCAAAAACAAAAAAACAAAAAACAAAAACAACCCCAGCAACTCCAAAAACCACACTTCATGTGCCACCATTATTATTCCAGTCAAGAATCGCAGCCGTGTGTCTATTTAAAGCAGCTGCAGTTTGCCTTTTCTCCAGCACAACTGCTGAAGCTCTTCAGCAGTTGCTAAAATTACCCACAGTTTGTTACTGGGATTCATCAAAAAAAAAAAAAAAAAGAAAAGAAAAAGTCTGTGGCAAGGACCACACAGTCCTGGCAGGAGCCAGGCTGACAACATCTGACACGAGAGCAAACAGAAATGAAGGAATTGGATTCTTCTAATACAGGTTCCTGTTCTGCAAACAAACAGCTGAGCAATTGATGCCAGAACATGAGACTTTTTGCTTCTTATAGAATCCCAGACTGGTTTGGATTGGAAGGGACCTTAAAGATCATCTAGTTCCAACCCCCCTGCCATCAGCAGGGACACCTTCCACTAGACCAGGTTGCTCAAAGCCTCATCCAACCTGGCCTTCAACACTTCCAGGGAGGAGCATCCACAACTTCCTTGGGCAACCTGTTCCAGTGTCTGACCACCCTCACAGTGAAGAACTTCTTCCTAATATCTCATCTAAACCTCCCCTCTTTCAGTTTAAACCCATTTCCCCTTGTTCTGTCATTAACTGCCCTTATGAAAAGTCCTTCCCCAGCTTTCTTGTACCCCCTTCAGGTATTGGAAGGCCGCTATAAGATCTCCCCAGATAATTTCAAGTCAGCAGGAGTAGGACAATGAGTTGTTAAGGTCTCAGCCCAGATAAAAATACCTGGTACTGTCCTATAGCCTGGAGAGCAGCCTCAGTAGGTGAGCAGGAGCCTTAGCAGAGCTCCAGAGGGGAAGCTGCAGTGATACTGATGGGCTGCACCAGTTCCACCAGCTGGACCTGTCTCCAGTTTCTCCTCTGGCTCCACCAGCACTAAGGGCAGTCAGATGAATTCTGACTGCTCTGTGCTCACCCACAGCTCCCAAGCCACAGTTAATCCTTACATTTTCACAGCTTTTTAACTGAAAACACCTGTCAGATGATAAATTACTCTTTTAGACCACTCTGTGGGAATCGCTGCCTTACAAAATTCTTGCAGTTCTATTTCCCATCGTGGTATCTCACAAACACTGACAAGGTGTCAACAGGAGATCTGCAATCTATGACCTCGAAGAAAAGATATTCAAGGTAGGTAGTGATTAATTAAATACCAGTGGCTTTAACAGACCCTTTGGCACTAATAAGCCAGTTCCCAGGGAGGGAGGGCAAGAGGGTGGGGAGAAAACAACAGGTGATCTCACTTCAGGATGTCAGTGCCTTGAGAAACAGGACAATGGTGGGCACCGAGACTCTGGTGGGAAGCAGCCCACTGCGCCAACGTGGACGGGGCACTCTGGATAGGGGGACAAAGCATCTCGGGAGAGGAAGGAACGCTGAGAATCAGAGAGGAAAGGCAGGAATGAAAATATGCATGTACAAAAGCATAAAAAAAAAAAAAATTAAAATCCATCTCAATCTCCTCTTCCTGCTAATGACTCCCATTCTGCTGCGCAGGCAGCCGGCATCAACATAATCCAGCACAAACTGTGACAGCAGAATGGGATTGAAGGCTTTCAAGCAAAGCTGTTTGATTGCTTGGCCCTCCCCCAGAAGGCAGGAGGGGAAGTGGGAGGTGGGTCTGGATCCTCTCCTCTGAGGCCATCTCCCTGCAGATCAGCCTTGATAGACCCAAAAGCACAAAAGCTGCAGATCTTGACTCTGCAGCGCAGCTGACAGCCCCCCTCTCCCTGTAACTGCAGAGAGGGGATAAAGCTGCTCTGGCTGCAGTTTTTCTAACTCTTGAGGAGCTCAGCCAACAAGCAGTTTTTATTCTAGCATGTCCAGGCACTAGGTATTTTTTTTCTTCTTCAAATCTATGTCTAAATGCCATGTCACACTGGCCTGCTGGGTTCTGGAAAGCTGCTAACGCAGGTCCCAAAGCTCGAGATCCCTGCTCTAGCGTAAGAGCTTCCTGCTATTCACACAGAACTTTGTCTTATAGAAACTTAAACAAGACCCCTCCACCCACGATTTCCCCATGTAACAGGCTCACCTGTCACCATTGGCAGATATGGCATCAAACTTGGCTTTCTTCTTTGGGATTTCATTCTGAATAGAAGAGGTGGATAAGGTTTTCTGGCTAAAAAAAAAAACAACCCGAGGAAATTGTATGTCAGAACCTGAATGACTTGCAGTCTAAGACAGAGGAGCAGATAAACATTCCCACCCACTTTGAACCTATTAAAATAAGATTTCCTAACACAAGAAAGAATGATAAAAAATTCATTCCCTGAAGAGTAGCTGGAAACTAAAAATAACCAGCAAACAAAGCGTCAGTCAGAGCAGTAGGTAAGTGAACAACTCACGCTTAAAATCTCCATTTCAATCATTAAATTTTACAAATGCAATTTAGGTTTAATTGTGTACAAGCTCAGTCAGTTGAATCACTAAGAAGCACTGTTGGACTACAAAGTCTACACCAGAACAGTGGGGTTTGCAAACTAGCAAAGCCTGGCTTAGCCAGATTCTCCTGCCAAAAGCCATCATTAAGGTACGGAGCCCCTCAGGCACTTGTCCCAGTGACTTCAGGAAGCAAAGCTCAGGGCTGTGGAGCAGCCAGGCACCCTGTTTGCTCACCCTGCACCACAGAAAAGCTGGTGCAGGTTTACCTGTTATAGTGGCTGCCACTGCTGAGCCTACTGTACTGTTCCTTCTCTTGCAGGCTTGCTCGGGAAGAGCTGCTCAGGTGTTTGCACTGCTCTTTGGTCTTCTGCAGGACCCGTTTATAGGACAGAGTGCATAACCAGCACAGCAGCTTTCCATCCACCTGGAAGATGAGAGAGAAAGGGGGAGAAGTTTTGGTCTTGCTTTCTGCCCGAGAAGAGAAGAGAAGAGAAGAGAAGAGAAGAGAAGAGAAGAGAAGAGAAGAGAAGAGAAGAACCTTCAGGCTTAAGATCACCTATGAACAAGCAGCGACTCAAAAAAAGGATTCCTTGAGTGCCTGGAAAGGGTAAGAAGTGCCTCTGCTGGTGCGATGCAGACAGTGCTCATTAACAGCAGCTAATCTATCCTAACTACAGTCTCTGCCAGGCTTTGCTTACAGATGGTCTTACAGCACCCATGCACCAGAACAGGGTAACTCCAGTGGGATTTCTGTCACAGCAACGCCAAGGAGTCCCCATCCCTGGAGGGATTGAAGAGTCATGTAGACATAGTGCTGAGGGACATGGGTTAGTCGGGGACTAAGGGCAGTTAATGACAAAACAAGGGGAAATGGGTTTAAGCTGAAAGAGGGGAGGTTTAGATGAGATATTAGGAAGAAGTTCTTCACTGTGAGGGTGGTCAGACACTGGAACAGGTTGCCCAGAGAAGCTGTGGCTGCTCCTCCCTGGAAGTGTTAAAGGCCAGGTTGGATGAGGCTTTGAGCAACCTGGTCTAGTAGAAGGTGTCCCTGCTGATGGCAGGGGGGTTGGGACTGGATGAGTTTTAAGGTCCCTTCCAACCCAAACCATTTCATGATTATGTGATTTTATGACTTGTCAGTGTTGGGTTCATGATTGGACTCGATCTTAAAGGGCTTTTCCAAACCAGGCCATTCTGGGATTCTGTGACAGAAGAAGAAGATACTGTGACACTGTGTGTCTTGTGTGTCTTCTGTGACACTGAAGACCAAACCAGCAAGGGTCTCTGCTGGAGGAGGATCAGCAGGAGGACAGGGATTATCAGTGCAACATCCCAAATGAACAGCAGATGTTTACGGCCTGCAGGAAGCAGGCCGTAGAAGCACATATTGCCTAAGGAGCACTTGGGTTGTTTAAGCAAAGGGTGTGCAGCAGCCATGGAATGAGTTTCCTGGTGGAGATATGACACTTCCAGCTCCTCTGGCTACAGCAGAAATATTGTTCCCCATCCCTCTCCCCGAGCAAGCGCTGCACATTTCACTCAGAGGCTCTTTCTCTTTTGCCAGCTCACCTGCCCTCAGGCCATAAAAAACCTGAGATCTTTCTCAAAAGATCTGGCAAAAGAGCAGAGGAGCTCAGAGATGAAACAGCTCCAAAACACAGCAAAGCTCAACTCCAGAAAAAGACTTTACAACCAAGAGACACCTCCTTTTGAAATGCTAGAGAATACGTGAAGGAGATGGGACACACAGTCACTACCCATCACCCCTTTTACTGTTTTAGCCTCATTTTACAGAGATACTGACCTTCTTCCTATCATCCTTCCGGTCAAACGCACACTGCTGCTTGCACTGCTCGCAGGAGTGGGGAGGTCCGTACTTCTTCTCCGAGTTTGTGCAACGCTGGCACTTGTTTCCAATAAATGCTGCTATGATGTTGCAGTACTGGCAGGGTTTGGGCTTTAAGAAACAAAAACAACTGATAGAGCAGCACCTTCTAATTCCATTAATGTATTGCTCCCTTCTCCCCATCACTTCCAAACTTTTCTTTCCCCATTCCAAGCTGATTGGAATGCTGATGCAGGAGACATAACTCCATTTGGACCTCTGTTCTCTGGCGAAGTGTATTCAGCCATAGCACCCAGACCACTTATTGAGTGCTATGAAACCTTTAGAAAACGAATAACACCAAAATAGAAACAATCAAAGTCTCTTTTTTTCAGATTTCAGACAAGCAGGAAAGAAAGATTTCTCAGTGCTTCCCGCAGCAATCTCAGTTTGTGTAAGCACGCTCTCATCTCGACTGGGTATCAAATAGTTCATTTCCTGGCCTAAAATGATGCAGAGCTGCTCTTTTTTTATATATTAAAAGAAAAGGTAAAAGCTTCACACTTGTGGGACCTGCATATTATTGATCAGTCATGCTATTCCTACAGAGCCAGCCCATAAACTGCTCTGGGATTCAGTAGGATAAAGGCAAAATAAAAAGAGATGAAAGATAAAGAGGTTGGCAGGAATGAGCCCCGCTCACTTACTGTGCCGTAGAGCTTCACATTCTGAGCACACTTCTTGCATATTGTGTTGGTTTTGCTGTTAAAAAGGAGAAGAGATCATTCCATTAACACCTCCCCAAAGCAAATCAAAGCTCTGTGGTTAGAGCCCCTGACTCCCATAGGCTCCATCTCTAGAGGAGAGACTGTATTCATCTTCACCAGGGACTCAGATATCAAAGTACATTTCTTGTCCCCATCTGGTTGAGGATAATTTGCCAAAAAGTGGTATTACTAGGAGGTGGTTTTTAATTAAGGCATCCCCAGATAACACCAGGTTTTGTCCTTACAAATGTAGGAGTCTGATCACCAGCTAATTGGCAGCAGGCGTGATTCAGCCCAGGTGACAGCCTGAGTTCTGGAGGAGGTTTGCTCTGGATGATGAGGTTAAAGCAGGTCAGGCCAGAGGTGTATTTGTCCAACAAACACAGGAAGAACACCTCACACAAGGCCTGCACGCAGCTACTGGGTTTCCCAATCCTCCCTCTGCAAAGCTTCATAACTTAAAAAAATGTAAAAAGGGTAAAAGCACAACTAGAGGAATCACACCAGGAAATACTTTTTGGATACTAGAAAGCAGATAAGGGGAAAACTCATGGGAAGGTGCACCCAGATCCTTCACTAGAAGAGGAACCTTAGCAGTGACCAAAAATAAAAGCCAAGCAAAAGATGTAAATCTCAGGACACCACAGGGGCACATCGACTCGCCCAGCAGACCTTTAAAAAAGGCCAAAGGTCCCCCAAGTCCTCCACAGTGACAATCTACAGGTTAAGATTCCCACCTCCCTCCTTCAAGATACCATAAGGCCTCCCCCACAAATGTCCCAGACCTTCCCAAACACCCCAGCATCCCCCAAACGCCCCAGCTTCTCCCCTTGCTAACAGCCTCCCCCACAAACAGCCCCTCAGTTGTCCCCAGGCCTTCCCTCATGAACAGCACCCACCTTCCTCCCAGTTCCCCCACAAAGGTCCCATGACACCTTCTCCAACACCCTCCAAATACTCCCAGCATCACCAAACAGCTCTCAGTGCCCTGACCACCAGCTCCCCCAATATAATACCCCCAACAACAGCCCCCAGGCTCTACCAGCTGCCCCAGTCATCACAGATGTGGAAACATTACAGTTCCCCAGGTGCATGTGTTCTAAAAAAAAACCAAAAAACCCCAACCCATTAGTGTCCACAGCTCAGTGGGTATTTTTTACCTCTCCTGCTGGAATTCAGTCCTGCAGTAAGTGCATTTGACAATGGGATGCGCGATCCGGCACTCCTGCAACGCCAGAAGCCTTTGGTGAGATGCAGTGTCCCCAAAATCCCAGATCACCCACTGATCTCTGCTCCCACCACATCCCTCAAGCTCCAAACATTCCCTCCCCGTGCAGTCACGCTTCTCTTAACAAGGGCTGAGAGCAGAGGAAGGGTGACAGGCACAGCGTGTGTCACAGGTGAGCCAGAAGTAAACCTGAGATTCATTAGGAGGGCTGATCTGTGCCCAACGCCCACAGAG